GCGGCGGAGGTCGCGGCTGCAGGTTCCCAGCGCGAGCTCGCCTCTCCGCGGTGCTGTTTATTTTGAGCTGGGCGCAGTGACACGTGGCTCCTGCGACCGAGAAACTTGAGGACCGAGCCTGACATGAGCTGTGCATTTGGTGATGGAACTTCGGTCCTGCAGGGACGCCGAAGCCCGGGCGGGAGGCAGGATCCCGGCGCTGCCTTTCTCTTGTGACACAGTGACCTTTGGAGGTGCTTGCCCTACGCGGCTGTTCCCAGTGTCTGTCTGCGTCCCGAGGTCGGGTGGATGCAGTGAGTGTCCAGCGGTAGCAAACTCCCGGGGTCAAAATTTATTTTTTTCAGGTTGACATTATGAACCTGAAACCTTTTTTTCAGGTTGCAGAGTTTTCTTCCTAAGTGATTAATTGAGATGTTTAGGGACGTTCACGTTGCCGTGTTTTAAAATGTTGTATTAGTTTTTTTTTTAAACAGCTATTTAAATACTGAGGCAGTAATGATTGTTTCGTATGTGAATGAAAAAGTTGTTGCCATTGGTGTTCATTCATTTACTCAGTGGTAGGTTATGTAGTACACACACACACACACACACACACACGGATGAAAGAGCTTTCTTTCGTGTGGAAATTCTAAATAGACTAAGACGCAGTTTTGGTCATTAGCACCATGGTTTCTGTTAAGGGTGAGAAGACAGAAAAATTAGTCCGAACAGGGGTCGGAGAGATTACTTTCTCTGGAGTGGTGAGGAAAGCCCGTCCAGGCTGAGCAGGTAGCTCCGGCAGAGAAGGTGAGCGAGGGCGTAGGAGCTGTTCAACTTAAAAGCGGGCTCGGGGCGTGATGTGCGAGATGCTTCCTGGAGACAAATAGGTTCCAAGTGCCGCGGCAGGTGCTGCAGAGCCGCTGGAGACTTCGGTTTTTTTTTTTTGTTGTTTTTTTTTGTTTTTGTTTTTTTTCCTTTGGTCTTTTTGGGACAGGGTCTCACTGTGACTTTCAGGCTGGTCTTAAGCTCACTTTGTAGCCCAGGCTGGTCTCGAACTCGCAACAGTTCTGCCTCAGCCTCCAGGGTGCTGGGATTACAGGCGTGCGCCACCACTTCCTGCAAGACTTCGGGTTTAGATGGCTCGTCCTGATTGATAGTAGCTTGTAGGTTAGACGTCAGGGAAACAAAACTCAACAGGTCTTCAGGGAGAAATGACTGAGCAGGAGGGCTAGAGAAGGAGGCACTGAATGGGGATGTATGTAGGAGCTAGGAACTACAGTGGGTGTGACTTTATTGTTTAGTCGGAGACGGGGAGCGGGAGAGAGAAAGAATTTGAATCTACAGTGACTGACTCCAGATTTCCGGTGGTGGCAAGTTCGTTGTTCACTGAGATGGAGTTTATAGAAACTTCGTGGATGAGAGATGATTTCAGGTTTCACATATTTTCCCTCTTTGTTAAAAAACAATAGTCAGTACTTGGTTTTTATGACTTGTAGGACCTGTCAGATTTTGCAGAATTTTCTCTTTTCTGGTGAAAATCTTCATCTGGGTTATTTTTTGCTAAATGCTACTACTTTTACCACACTGGCATAGGTGCTAGCTAGGATGACACAATATTGCTAGGATTTTTTAGTTTAATTTAATTTAATTTTTTTTGTCTCCAATCAGCTTTTATTGGTACGTTTTAGCTATATATATAATAATCACATTCATAGAGAATTTGTACCTGTACACGACACAACTTGTTTCTTTTTTTTTCCCCATTCCCCTGCCTTCTCTTTCGTTTTAGTTTTAGTGTTTTTTTTGAGACGGAGTGTTGCTGTGTAGTTCAAGCTGGCCTTGAACTCACTGTGTAGCCCAGGCTGACCTCGAACTAACATTGATCCTCCTGCCTCAGCCTCCCAAGTGCTGGGTCCTTTTGGTTTTATGATTATTGATATTCATCTCTATTTACATAAAATTCATCCTTTGACAGAGTGTTCACTGTGTTGTACAGCAGTCGCCATGCCAGAACATTTCATCTCCCTGAAGAGAACCCTGCACCTGTCAGCAGGCCTACTCTTCCCCCTTCATCCCTTGAGAAGCACTGACCTGCCTTCTGCCTGTGTGCATGTGTATTGCACCTGTGTCGGGTGAATACAGTCCTATACTGTGTGGCCTTCTATGCGTGGTTTCTTTAACTTACGTTTTCAAGGTTCATTTGTACTTAGCATATACTATCTCATTCCTCTTTGTGGCTGAAAAATATTCCCTCATGTATTTAGACCGCTTTTATGTCAGTTGATGGACAAATATTAACAGGCTGTTAATATGTTTTTAGCTATGATGAATAATGCTGTTATGTGTACAAGTTTTTAATACGCATATATTTTTTATTCACTTGGATATTACCTATGGTTGGAATTGCTGGGGCACACCTGCTATATGTTTAACTTTTTGAGGAACTGGCAGATTGTTTTCTGTATGGGTGATAGCATTTTACATCCCCTCCAACAGTTTATGAAAGTTTCAGTTTTCCACGTCCTAACACGTGGTTTTCTGTTGTTGTTATTATTATTTTGTTTTTTTGAGACAGGGTCTCACTATGTAGTTCATGCTGGCCTTTACCTTGCTGTGTAGCCCAGGCTGGCCTTGAGCAGTGATCCTCCGGCCTCAGCCTCTTGAGTGCTGGGAGCACACATGTGAGCCACCGTGCCTGGCCCACATCCCCAATTATTATTATTTTTTTTTTTATTTTTTATTTTGAGAGAGAGTCTCACTCAGTTGTCCTATCAGGACTTGAATTTTAATCTTTCTGCTTCAGCTTCCCGCAACGCCGGGTTACAGGTTTCTGGCAGCACATCTGCTTGTTATTCCTGTACAACCACCTTGGTGGGCGTTCTGTGGTATCTTAGGGCTTTGATTTGCTTTTCCTGATACCTAATGATGTTGAACACATTTACATGTGCTTATTTGATATTTGTGTATTTCTTCTTTGGAAGAATGGCTATTCATTTTGTTTGCTCATTTAAAAAAATAGGTTGTTCTTTTAGGGTTCTTTATACATTCAGGTACTAGACTCTTATCAACCACATGAAATGAAAATATTTTCTCTCATTCTATGTTTTCTTTTCCATTTATGGTGTCCTTTGAAGCACAGAAGTTTTTACTTTGATTAAGTCCAACCTGTTTATTTTTTTCTAGTAGTGTTGAATAAATGTGGATGCCTTTGTTCTGAAGGAGGGGGGAAGCTCTCCTTCTGTTACCTGTAAGTATGTTAGCTATGGGTTTGCGCAGGTGCTCCTGGTGTGGTTGAACAAGTTGCCTTTAATCTTAGTTTGTTGAATAATCATGAAAGGATGCTAGAATTTGTCACATGCTTCTTCACTGTGTATGGAAGTGATCGTGTCCGGTTTTTTTTTTTTCTTTGTTCTGTTTCTGTGGGCTGTGTGTTAAACCATAACCTTGAATTCTTGGGATTAAATCCTGCTTGTTTGTGTATAACCCCTTTTGCATGCTGTTGGATTCACTTTGCTGCTATTTTATTGAATATTTTTGTATTCGTAGTCATAAAATACATTGGTGTATGGTTTTCTTGTGTGTTGGGGCTTCCTATCAGGGTAAATGCTGTCCTCATAGAATGAATTAGGAAGTGTTCCCAAAGGATTGATATTAGTTTTTCTTCAAAATTCTGATAAAATTCAGCTGTGAAACCATCTGGTTCTGGCTGTTCTTTGTTGGAAATTTTTTTTTTTTTTTTTTTTGGTTTTTCTCCAGTACCGGGAACCGAACTCACGACCTTGCGCTTGCCAGGCAGGCGCTTTTGCCGCTGAGCTAAATCCCCAGCCCCTTGTTGGAAATTTTTGATTACTATTTACTTGTTATAACCCTAGTCAGATTTTCTATTTCTGAATTAGTTTCATTAGCTTGTGTGTTTTTATGAGTTTATCTGTTTTGTTTAGGCTTAATTTCTAGGCATACAGTTGTTTGTAGTATTCTCTTATGTTTATTTCTGTAAGTTTGTTAGTAATGTTCCTTTAATTGATTTTAGTACCTAATTTTATAACTGATTTAGTAACTGATTTTAGTAGTTGATTTTGAGGTTTTTTTGTTACCTAAATGTATACCTATTTTGTTGATTGTTTTCTTTTTGATTTGATCTTTTATTTTATTTATTCATTGATTATTTTTTTAAAGAGGGAAGGGTTTATTTAGCTCACAGTTGGTGGAAGTTTCAGTCCATACTTGGCTGGCCCCAAGGCAGAGTGGCACATGGCAGAGGGCAGCAGTTCATGGTGGCGGAAAAACAGCAAAAGGGGAGGAGAGAGCTGATTGAGCTTTTAAAAAACTAACATTTGGTTTTATTGATTTTTGTCTTATAACTTACTTATTCACTAGAAGTTTTTTTTTTCTTGTATTTTCGCCCACTTGCTTGCTTTAGGCTTATTTTACTTTTTTTGAGTTTTTTGTTTGAAGGTTAGGCTACTGGTTTGAGACCATTTAAAAAAAACCCAGACTTTTACAGCTATAAACTTCCTTTAGACACTGTTGTAACTGTATCCTATAAGTATTATATGTTGCCTTTTTGCTTCCATTCTTTATTATTTTCTAACTTACTTTGTGATTTCTACTCTGGCTTACTGGTTATTTAGTAGATTATTATTTATTTTACCTGTTTGTGACTTTTCCAAATTTCTTTTTGTTACTGGTTTCTAATTTTAATTCATTAGGGTCAGGGAAGATACTTTGCATAATTTTAGCTTTAAAACTTGGGAGACTCGTTTTATAGCTTAACAGATGGGTCTTTTCTGAAGAATATTACATGTACATACTTGAAAAGAATGTGATTTTTGCTGTTGTTCGGTGGTGTGTTAGGTCTGGTTAGATTATAGCTCTAGTTAGAGTATAACTTTTGTTATTTTCTTGCCGATCTGCTGTTTAGTTCTTTGAGTTATTGAAAGTGAGAGCAAAAAAAAAAAGTGAGAGTTTCAAATCAACTATTGTTGAGTTGTCTGTTTTTCCCTTAAATGTGTTAGATTACCTTTTATGATTTTACTTGTATATTTTGGCTCTGGTAGCTAAAATATGTTTACAGATGTTACTCTTAAAAATCTTTGGACAAGGTCTCATTCTGTAGTTCAGACTCGCCTCAAACTCCTGGCAATCCTCTTGCCTCCACCTCCCGAATGCTGGGATTACAGTCCTGGGCACACCTGGCTACAACTGTTTTTAAAGATTGAGGTGGCGGGCGTGGTGGTTTATGCCTGTAATCCCAGCACTGGGGAGGCTAAGGCAGCAGCATCACTGTGAGTTCCAGGCCAGCCTAAACTACATAGTGCGACCCTGTGTTACAAAAAAAAAAGATTGAGGAGATGTTATTATGTAATATGTCTTCATTTGTTTCTAATAACAGTGTTTGTCTTAAATCCTGTTTTTTCTGATATTACTCCAGCCACTCCAGCTGTCATTTGGTTATTGTTTACACAGAATATTCTTTTCCCATCCTTTTAGTTGCAACACACGTGTGTCTTTAAGCTTGTGTCTTAAAAAAAAATTTAAAAAAAGCTTGTGTCTTATAGGAGGCACATAATTGGGTCACTTTTTTCCATTTCTCCAATCTTTGCCATTTAATTGGGATGTTTAATTCACTTATATTTACTGATGATTTTGTTATTTTCCCATTTGCAGATTTATAATAATTTAATTTGTATTAGTCTACTTCAAAAGTTGCTTCTATATAGTGTTATACTCCCCTTTAAGCTATTATTGTAAAAATTTACATCTTGTGTGTTCATCAACATATATTTATAGTTATTGTTTTATGCAGTTATCTTTTTAAAAAGGACTTACAGAAAATTTGTGTATATGTATCCCTGTTCTGCTTTTATATTTAGCACATTAGGCTAAGCCTGGTTGTTCATAATGTAGCTGAAGCAGCACAAACATTTAAGTAAGGCTTTATTTAATGTTTCTATGCTAAAAAATTGAAAACGCAGAGTATAAGATTCAGTAGATCATTCATCTAACATAATATGCTTTGTTCCACAGGGTTCCTGGGGCTGTAGGTATTTTAGAACCTACTGTAATTTTTTTTGTGTGCTAGGTACCATTTTAGCGTCTGTCTCTTCCTTTCCTAAAATCTGGTCCCAAGAAAGGATGACAAGTTGAAATAGCATTTTACCAGTTTAGAATGAAATACTGGTTTCCTTTTAGAGATCTCTTCACACCCTATGTATTTATTTATTTGTAATCCGATTGCAAAACAGATTGTTTGGATACCATGTATGTGACCTAGTGTCACGTATGCCTTTTTTAAAAGTTTATTTTTCTATTGGTACATTTTAGATACACATAATGATTACATTCCTCATAGGGTATTTGCACCTGTACGTGATATATGTTGCTTCTTTTTTTCCTATTCCCCTCCCCTTCCTTCAGCCCCTCTTCCCGTCCTTATTTACAAAGCTTTGTTTCCATTTTTTCCTCCTATTCTCTTTTTCTCCCTTCTTTCCTTCCTTCCTTCCTTCCTTCCTTCCTTCCTTCCCTCCCTCCCTCCCTTCCTCCCTCCCTCCCTTCCTCCTTTCCATTTCCCAGTACCTGTTACACAGAGAAACAATGCAGTATTTACATGTGTGTCTGAT